ACCCAAGTGGGACTTGAAGTAGATCAGATGTTGAGTGGGCGAACCCTTCCCGTCAGACCTACAGATTGGCGGGTCGGATTTGAGTGACCCGCGATTCGGCGGGTCGGATTTGAGTGACCCGCATTTTTCGATCTTTTCGGCCGCCGTCTTGGACTTTGGCCTCCAAACTTTGTGCAGTTTTGGTGGCTTCTTTTCCACTTCTTCCCTCTGCAATCTTTTGACCTCTTGCGCAAGAATTCGCGCGCGCGCAAGCAGTACGCGACGCTTTTTGATCCGCTCTTCAAGAGTTGAACGGGTCCTTTTGACTTGTACCCATTCACTTGTTGGTGATTTGGAGGAGAGGGCATTTTTCCGCTGTTGGGGCGCTTGACGTTGCCTAATTTTCAGATCCGCCTCATAACGGATTCCGTCTATTGACTCCAAGGCTCTAGCGAGTTGGCGCGCACAACGTTGGCGCTGCCTTTGACGAGTTCTCTTTGATAAAATAGGCGCGCCTTCTGTACTCAACTCCTTGATTGAGGAGGAGTTCAGATCTGCAGATCCGGACTCATTGGAGGCCGGAAGGGCGTTGCAAGGTTCAGCTACCGCAACAACGGGGGCGTTGATCTTCCTTCGCTTGCGAGAGGCGGAGGATCTGGAGGAGGAGGACGACAGATATTCCTAGAACTTCAGTTGGTCGAACTCGTATTCGACCACTTCTTCAACCGGGATGCAGATCCGAGGTTGCAACCGGGATGTAGATCCGAGGTTGCGACACGACAGCTCCGGTAGCGAAGCTGTTGGCTCCCACTGTGGTCGCCAGTTTGTTTGCGTCGAAAATTGATGTATTCATTGCGGTATTCATACAACTTCGGTCGTTACAATGAAAACAAAAAAAAGATTGTCTTTTTATAAGACTTTTACACAATGAAAACAAAAGTTTACAACTCTCGTCAAAACAAACGCAGAGGACGTTTATCACCCGCTGCTTTGCGTGAGATCTTTGCCTGTGCCGGGGTTTATCCGTGGACCGCCTTAGATCTGGATCCGCTTGAAATTTGGCAGAGCTTCGTCTTCACCGAGGAAGTATTTGATTTGAAGCGCTGAGATCGACCAAGCGAAATCAGGGCTCTTCTCGAGATTAAGACCAAGCCTAATCTCAAGGGACGGACGGGAACGGGCGTCGGATCTCTCGAACTCTCCTTCTTTATGCCGAAGAACTCGCCAAGATCTGTCAACCCTCACTGAAATTCGTGCTCCTTTGACTCCACAATCCGGCAGCACCTCCTCGTCTTGATAATCAATCGCCCCCCGCTGAAAGGAGACCATAGGCTTGTATTTATAGGGCTTAGGAAGCGGTTATTTGGATAAGAACAAGTGATTTGGCTCTATCTTCAGTTAACAACAGCCTAACCACGTTTGGGGATGATCTCAAGCCAGTTAAGAACATCTGGAACCAACAAATCTCGCGGGTCGGTTGTGTCCGACCCGCGCCGGCGCGGGTCGGTTGATTCCGACCCGCGCCGGCGCGGGTCGGATCATTCCGACCCGCGCTTGCGCGGGTCGGATCATTCCGACCCGCACGGGCGCGGGTCGGTTTGGTCCGTCCTGCGCGGCGCGCTGAGTTTCGCTGATTTCTTGTGTTTTACGACTTTTCCGATCTTCCAGGACTTGTAGTTTCTCCCGTTTTACTCATCCGTCGTGTTGACTTGTATGCTCCACGCGAGTTGATTAATGTGCGTTAATTGACGCCATCGTGAACTGATTGACGCGCGCACTGATTGACATGCACGAGCTGAATGATGCGTGCGTGTTAACTGACTGTTGGGCGCGTTTGTACGCTTTGAGTTGATTAATGCGTGCGGTCCACTTGGCATTTTTCATTGTGGTGGTTCGTTGTCGTGTCATCAACAGTTTGCCGATTCGCTTCATGCGCTTGTCGGCGTTGGATAATCCTCTTTGATTCGGATAACGACGTTCATCGTCTTCTCTCTGTCTCAAGCTGTGTACGGACACCTATAGGCATTTTTAGACGCCTACAGTTCATAACACCCCTACAAGTTTGGCGGGAATTGAAAATAATAAAGGTGTCAACTTAAATAATTTTGACTAAATAGAGGCACATATATCTGCCCCTAATGTTTTCTAATCCAAAAAAAAAAAACGCGCCTATTATCCAACTACTTCCGCCCCTATTTTTATAACAATTAGGGTTAATATTTTGTTATCCAATTACTTCAGCCCCTATTGCTATAACAACTAGGGTTAATATTAAAAGAAATTAAACCCTCATATCGGCTATTTCTCCCCCACCACCCAAACAATAAAAAATCCGCGACCC